ATATATATATATATATAAGCTTCAGTGGTTAATGTTGCTCTCTGTATGTGTATTCATATTCCATATTTCTTTGTTTGGTTTATAAGCAGATTACACAGTTAGACATGAACATAAAAGGAACCTAAAATTGCAGCAGACCTCTGCTACAAAGCTAAGTCAGTAGGCTTACAGTAATGGCAGCTCCCCTACCACACACACACACACACGCAGAGCTCTCTGGAGCCAACAGGACCAGTGATGCTTCCAGAAATAGCCTAACCCCAGTGATCCAGCTCTGCTGCAGCAGTGTAAGTGCCCAGTGGTGCTGCACAGAGAGTCGAGGCGTTTGATGAGTTCACATCAGCCATGACAAGCTGGCTGAGGAGAGACGGTAATGTGGTCTGACTCCTATCGCCACACATTCAGAGCAAAGACAGATGCATGCATGGATGGACAGATGGAGGAGAGGTGACAGCGTGACAATGGCCTGAACATTCAGCACAAGACCTCAGCAACATATTGGTACTTTGGTGTTACCTTTCAGAGATATCAGTCAGATGCGGTTTATTTATTTTGTAAAAATGTTACAACCTGAAGGTTTTGCTTAACTAAAAAAAAAAAAAAAACCTAAGGATCATATGTTAAAGAATAAAGTTTTATTTAAATATTAAAAATATTTGTCTTTTTCATGTTAGATATCTTTCAATTTAGATTTCAAACATACTATGGGTATATGGCAGTTTGGTACAGCATATATTTTGTATTATGTAGATACACAACATATGCACATAGGGGTTAAGTTTGCTACTCACTTGCTCCCTTTCCAAGTGCGAGCACGAAACTACAGTAGCCGCAAAACACTCCAAAGAAAACGCAAGCAGTCCTATCTAGAGCGAGTATTTGGTTGGTCCCTTCTGGGATACTGCAGAAACATGGCGGTTCAAAATGGTGGCCACCACAGAAGGCGACCCGATGCATGTAGATAAAAACGTTTGATTCGAAGGTAACAAAAACATGATTCTCATTTTCAGGTGTTAATACACTAATGAAAACATACCTATGAATATATTATTCCATTTCCACCAATAGATCCTTCTAAATGTTACACACTGGACTTTTAAGCACACAAAAACATGTCATATATAATCTCTACCATCCATCCAACATGAGATTAACAGAGTATTATTTTAATAAGGCAATAGACTGCGTGAAAAAACAGCCTCTGAAAAATACTGTAAAAAAAGTAGATCCTGGCTCAACTTCTACCACAACAGGGTAACTGTCTCACTCTAACCACAAAATGGAAGATAAAAATTGTATTTTGTAAAAGTATTGTAATATCCTGTTATAGTGTTGTAAACCACTGCATGTTTGGGAGTCTGAGCATGGAGTTTTGAAACATATGGACATTTAGCAGATAACACAGACCTTTGAGCCAGGTGAGTGGTGGACCCTTTAATCCTGTTACACAACAACAATCACAATCACACATTGGTAGAACCCCCGACTATGTTGTTGCTGGGCTCACACAACTGTTGCCTGGTGTGAGGATGGTTCAGTGAGTTCTGGTGAGACGGGGATCAACAGGGCAGAGCCGAGGAGGCAGATCATGTGGAGAGTTTCTGAGGTGCAAAGACCGATTTCCCTCCATTACGGTTTGAAAAGTTATGTGGCTGGGTTGGAGATGTCTTCCGGGAAGTAACAGAGTAGTGTTTATGAATATTATCTGTGATAGTGACCGGAAGATATATGGGATGTACAACACAACATCCCCGATTCCGCTGTTAGACCATAAATCCACTGATAATCAGCACGCAGCAGCTTTCTGGTCTCTGCTGCATACAGTGGTGCATAAATCACAGCGCAAGCAGACTCCTTTACTGTCGACTCCAGCATCCTCCAGCCCTGTACCAAACCTGTCAAAGAAGTTTATGGGCCTGTAATGAATAAAAGGAAGGAGAACAACAAATGACGTGAGGAGGGAGGGAAGGCGGTTGGAGGCTGAGGAGAAATAGTGGACGGGAAGAGACATGACGTGAGAAGCTAAATGATGGCAGATATGAATCAGATCACAGGAAGCAGCAACCCAATTCCTCTGGAGCAAAAGAATGTGATGCCGAAGAGAAAAATGAATCACTCATCACAGAGGGCCTTGTTTCCTCCATCTGTAGAGAAAACATAAGTACCAAAGGAGTGTTTGTTTTGCTTAATGATCACACCATCTGCTCTCTATTTACTCAAACTGTCCCCGGTTCACTCGAGGAGAGAGACTCTGCTCCTGAGAGGTGAGAAATGACTCTCCACTCACACTGATCGCGAGTTGCTCTCTTTCTGTCATAGAGTGAATCACTTAGACGAGATATTCTTAGCAAGATGAGGAAGACACACAGCGTGGCGCGTCTGAATGGGGAATTTAACAACTTGAAGCCAGCCAGGTCTTCAATGAGCAAGAAGGCATGAAAGAAAGATCTTTGCATGAAATATTGATGCTCCTTCCAAAGTGTCATCAGAATCACAAGCGGAGGGAACTGGATGAACCGTTGAGGTAAATGCCAAGTTTTTAATACACAGTTTAGCTAATGGTCCTGTTTAGTTTAGTTTACTCCCTACTGTTTCAGTTTTAGGAGAGGAGACACAGCGATACAAGGTGCTCAAATCCTACTATGAGATTTCAATTGCAAGCAGTGATTTTTGTTACTGTGGTGTATTCGAACGTCCTGTTTGGCATACACCATACAAAGCCACATTGTCCCAATTTAAGACAGACAGTAAATGAGTTGTCTTTGTTATTCTGGAGGTCAAACAGTGTATGTATTAGTGCTGAAACAATAGTGAATAGACAGAACATGTGTCATTTATCCAGCAAGATGCCAAACAGTCACTGGTTCCAGCTTTTCAAATGTAAGGATGTGCTGATTTTCTCCGTTTTATATCATTGTAACATGGATATCTATCAATGTTCTGTACTGTTTGGGACTGTTTGTCAGACAAAATAAACAATTTAATACCTGACCTCTATAGAGATATTTATTTATGAGCAGGTCACTGTTTTGTTTGTCTCATGGATGCAAATGTGGGTGACACAACACATTTTTTTTGCAAATGGTCTCACATTATTCCACTGATCTACAGGTGGTATAGACACAGAGCAATATTAGCATTCATTTGGAGTCATGTTTGTGTCCTTTGTGACCTAATGAATATGTAATATTCACTCTCCTTTTAGTTCCATTTTTGGTCTCCACCAACTCCTGAGGGAAATAATTGTCTCTTTAGCTGCTAACTTTGTCTGTCTGTTGTTTGGTGTTAAGCAGGTAGTAGTAAAACCAAAACAGTGAGCTGGAAGACACTGAAACGATACAGAGAGCTGATAATTCTCTGTGGGTTTGTTCTTTCACAAAAAATATTCTGCTGCGTGTAAAACACGTCAGGAAGCGTTTTGCAGGGATCAAACATTTTTCCATGATGGCTGACATGACCTCTTCCCTGTCAGGTTCTATTTTTCTCCTCTGTACCAACTGTTTACATGGGCAGCAGTGTTTTACATTTAGAAAGTCTCTTGTCTCTGCTTGTCCATGTTTCATTTCGTCTTCCCTCCAAACTGCTAGGTCATCTTATCTCCATAATTCAGCGGCCAGATGCACAGCTGCCTGGCAACAATCCAAAAAGCACATTTCATCTCTAAACAAAAGGGTGAAAGCAAAACTGCTGCCGCTAATGGCTCTATAGTTTGCCAGCCAGGTATACAATCATGTCTTTATCATGACTATCATTTTCACTTTGCAAACCCAACTTCAGGCCTAATCTCTCGCAATTAATCACTAAAAACCAACTGCAGACAGGCTATTAAGAAGAGACAGGGAAAAAAACAATCTTCTTTTGAAAGATAAGCAGAGAACTGAATGACTATGCTGAGTGTATGGAGATGTAGCAGATGAGAACGGAGCCGTAACCAGAACTGACAGGTCTGGTGACTGAGGCAGAGAGAATTAATGAGGATTTGAACTTCAAAAACTGATTGGAAATTTCAAGTGGACGGATGTGTAATTAACTCAGGATGTGCTTGCAGGTCTGCAAGTTTAAACTCTTACGGAAATAGTGGCAAGAACTATTTAAATGTATACATTCAGGGATTAGCAGGACAACAAGGTCATGAATATTTATTTAATGTTCCATATGGACAAGCCCGCTGCTTCCCTATTTATCTTCTTTGCACACACTGACACTTTTACGTCTCATATGTTGATTACTGCACACACGCACCACACTGACCCTGGCATATGCTCTTCCCCCTGTCACCGGCCATGTTAATCAGTATTGATATATACCATAAAAATGCCAACAAAGCTGAACTTACAGTAAAGACTGAGCACACTGCAGTAGGTGTCAAGCCTGCCAGGAAGCCAGAAATATCTGCTGAACTCACTGCACCAGTGTTCCACCTGAGACCAGTGCAGAGGCCACGCAAAATACTGTGTAGCTTTTGGAGTTTGGTCCAAACGATCAGAAAGGGCAACCCAGAATCCACAATAGAAGCAGCAGCACAAAACTGTCCTAGAAAACTTGTAAAATTCTACAGCGAAGGGAAAAATTTAATGTGCCTTTTTTATTCTTTCACCTGATTTAGTTTTGACAAATAAAACACCTTTTCACTGTGATTTGAATGTCATCAATGCAAAAATGGTTCAATGTAAAAATGACAACAGAAACAGCAAGCCAGCCTTCTTTCGGAATACAAATTATTTAATGTGTGGGTCTGTCAGCAAAAAGACTTCCACCTCACACCAATTGTTCAGAAAGTAACAACACAAAGAATATGAAATGGCTGAGGACAAAAACTACCAATTTGTAAAAGCTCTTGCAAGATGCGTAACGCCACACCAACAGCCAGTCTGGGCTGCAGGATATAAAATGACATTGTAGTTCGCACAACTGGCAGTAAACATTCCAGCAGATTAGCTTGCCTACACTCATTATTCCAATGACCCTTCCCTAGATCTTCATCTACCGCACTTGCCTTATCTGTGTGCAGTTTTTAAACAACATTTCAGGTGGTTAGAACTGTTTCTAACTTGCACATGTTTTCGCCCAGTTGGACCACGCAACGTTGTAATGTTCCCACATCCAACATCAGCACAATGTTATCATAACTCATAAAAATAATGACAAAAAACAAAAAAATTAGACCCAAGTTTTAATAAAACAGAATTATCCTTTCATGTTATCTTGGCAAATCCACCTCCACCTGCTTTCTCCCTTTCTGTGCAATCGATTTAAAAAGACAAAAACATAAAACTATACTCCCACGTGTCTGCTTTGAATTTCAAGTCTCGAGGCCAAGCCCTGAAATGTTGCCATGCCTGTGACACCCACCTCTTTGACCTCCAGCAGCCGTCCTTGGTACTGACTCTTGGCCCGCCGAGCTGCACCCGGGGATTTGTGGTGGGTGATGGTGACGATGTTGCTGGGTGAGGCCGTGTGGCTCAGGTGCCTCTGAGAACCCGGGGATGAAGATGGGGTTAGGTGGGGGAGGAGGGAGAAGCTACGGGTCCGACCACAGGATGAGGAGCCCTGGGGGGAAGCAGGGAGTGACACAGAAAGGAAGAGAGTGGGAATTTAAATGTGAAAGGAGCATGATAATGGAATATAAGATAAGGATAAGGAAGAGCATGCTCTTTAAAACTATCTTGTTAAAAGAAAAGTTTCAATAAAGAATTCCAGTGCAATTCCCCAAATCAAATAAACCACAAAAAGGTTCAATATTAGATTTGTATTGAAAAAAAGAGCCTTTAATGTTTATGGGGTTCTTTGGCTTGCCTGCTAATGCAGAGAAGAACAGCAGCCTATGCAATCTGTGGTAACCCAATTTTGGCCAATCCAGGATGGTAGCACTCTTTTATTCAGACATCTCTTGAACTTTAACCATCTCATTTTCTTTTCTTGGGGAGAGTATTGCCCTCTAGGGGGGCGTTCAGGGAAGCGCTGGAAGAAATATTTTGGAAAGGGGGGCCTTGAGGTGTTCTTGTTTGTGGCAAGTTTCCACAAGGGGATGATTTTGCAAGTTGAGAAACTTGCAAATTAACATGGTCTGCATTGTTCTAAAACATGCCAGTTTACACCAGTGCGACTAGACGAGATTGTGTAACATTAAAGACAAAACTAAATCTTCAGAACCCAATAATTTGCCCTCCAATTAACTAAAAAAAACTGAATTTGACTACAGCAGGTGCCACCACCAGGTTTACGAAGATCTACTGTGCCTTATAAAAAGGTAGTCATCCCTTTTTCTTGTTTTCTCTGCGCCGTAGCTAAAGTCACATCACATTCTTCATTTTGATGCCTCCTTCGCTTCCCCTCTGTGACTGTTGTCTCTTCAGTTCGCTGACCTCAGTGCTCACACAGGCAGCGATGTCAGAACAGTATCTCTCTCTTCTGTCTTTACTCTCCATTAGTTTACAGCAGCGCAGCCGGACCAGGCACCAGAGATTTATTCCTCAGAAGAGCACAGAGGTCTGGTCACTGCAGCAGTGAAAATAAAATAGATCAAATAAACAACTTCCACCCCAGAACGCTACTCACTGAGAGGGAAACAACCAGCCTTCAGTATGCAGTAACGAAGGAACTAAAGTAACATGTCATTGTAACATAATGTCACATACATGATTAGGAGATACTTGCTTGTGCACATTTTTTACAAAAAGAAATATGAATACGACTAAGAACATTTTCCTTGTGATTAGATGCATCCAAACACTAAATAGGAGTTACAGTATAGTAGGTAGGTTCTTGTGTAATCATTTTAATAGAAAATAATCAGCTTACAGGAGAGAACATTGTTGTATTGTGCAAGGCTAAGCCACGAGCCGTGAGTAAGCAGAAAAGGAACAGCATTTCAGAAGTGCGAACAGATAGAGATGCCAAGGTTTTGAGCTCCACAACTGGCACAGAGCCCCGAGCATTTCAATAAAGTGGAACAGGAAGAAGATGTCAGACCAAGAAAATTCAAAGAGGAAAAGAAGAAGAGGGAGGAGATGAAGGAAGAGGATCGCAGGTGTGAGGAACAGACTGAGTATAGGGGTTGTAATGTCTTGGACCTTATAGAACAAGTGTTAACCAATATTTAGGGCTCACGATGCCTTAAAATGAATCGATGTCTACTTGTGACTCCTGGCCTCAGTCTGGACATGACCTGTGAACAGTTTTCTTTCTCATATTGATTTATTTAAAAGGATTTTTAGAGGCCTGAAGACGTGCAATAAACATAATTTTGCATTTCTGCATTGTGAGTACATATAGAATTTCAATCTGTTGCCAATAGACATTAACTGGTTTCAAAATTATTATTTTTTTTAATTAGTGAAGACGGTGGAATAAAACTTGGTTTATCTCTAAATTCTTGAAACAAATTGAAAGATAGTAAAGAGAAAAAAAGATTCTAATTGTACTACACTTGTTTTTTTAGAGGCATCTGTAGATTAAAAAATGTCTCATTGTAAGGTAACGAAAACACAACGATTCCATTTTTTTTAGATTATACACTATACCAATGAAGATTATAGATCGCACCCATGGTGAATTTAGTGCCATGATCGCGACTCCAGTCTTTTCATCTTACATAAAGGACAGGATGTGCCTGACAGACTCAGCTCAGGGGTATAAAAAGTCCTGATGCTTGCTACTTCACAGGTGCTCTGCTGTCACTCGACCGTGGGCGGACTTGGCCCTGTGTGAGGCAGCGTGGGTAGACGGTACAACGGTCAGCTGCTGACCTGTCATTTTCTACACTACAGGGAGAAACGATAATTACACATAATTAGCTATTCAGTAATAACCTTAGTTAGAGAGTATGAAAGTAGTTTGTAATTACCTTTACAAAGATATTTTTATGGAATTATCAACTGAAAATACTTTCACCAATAGTAATAAATAATAAGATTTCTGTTTCAGGTTTCCAAGTCTGTTATTGGGTTAGGCCCTAACCCAATAACAGACTAGGGTTAAGCTGGGGTGGGTGGGAAAAGCTTGGTAAACAGTATTGTTTGCTAAATTTCAACATATAAAAGATATTCCTACTGTAGCCAAAATTAGTTTAAAACCCAGAACAGACAAACACACCAGGAGGCAGGAGCAGGACAGACAGTAAACAACATTACCAACTCAAAGTCCACCGATTGACTCTCGGTGCCCTTCCTGTCAGGAGGTGTGCGTGTGTGTTTGTGCGTTTTGCTAATCAGCTTGATAACCTGCAGCTGTTCTCACTGCCTGACTGAGCAGCCATGTATCCCCACCTGCAGCGAGCTCTAAAACCACACTACTGTCTGACACACCTGAATGTGACATCAGTGTACATGGAAGTCTATTTATATAGTGGTAGTAGTAGTGGTAGTAGTAGTATATTTTTCTTAATTTTTTAAATTCTCACCCAGGATTTGTATCTTAAATGGGTAGGACTTGTTTTGCTGCCCACAAAATATATAAAATAACTATACTTTACCCATTTACCCAAACAAAAATAGTATATGTATAAATTAATAGTGGAAATAGAAGAGAATGTAAATTAATTAAAAAAATTATTTCATTTGCCCAATATCTCTTATCTTTGTGTTTAACTTTATATACCTGAAACCAGGACAACCAAAGTTAGACTTTCAAAGCAGCGACCTTAATAAGAACCACTGTAACCAACTCTCTGTATATGTCAGCTGTGGTTGGACAAAAAACTGCAAACAAGGTCAAACGCTCTATAGAAAGCTCCAGCCAGAGAGATAAGAGTGTCTGCTCATAAAGAGTTATTGCTTTATTGGACAGTCACAAAGCAGGTGCTGGAAATGAAAACCACACCAGTGCGGAGTTATAAAAAGATTATTTAAAAAAAAAAAGGAACATGGTGAAATACAGCAGTCTTCGATTGTTTAATTGAGTTTAAACGTTCATGATCTTGGAAACAGCAGCTGACTAAACAATCTCACCTCCAGGTAGCTGCAGTTTTCAGTCATATCACGTTTATTTCAAGGTCAAGGTAAAAACTGTACCACAGTACTGTGGTCATACATGTCTAAAAAAACAACAACACACAGCTACACTAAACCTGCACTAACACACACACACACTTTATCCTGAGCAATGCTAACATCACCACCACGGCTCTAAACAGGTGTATTATACACAACTGGACCGTATCTTGTTTTAAAAGGACAATTCCAGAGCGCCTTGGTAGCTCAATGGTTACAGCACATTCAACATGGCCACATAGTTGCAACCGTCACCAGTTCTAACAACGATTCTTATTTTGAGGTGATTATACACTAATGAACATATACCTATGAATCATTTTTTACATTTCGGCCAGTAGATCCTCATAAATGTTACACACTGGACCTTTCAGCCTCCACTGGATACAAAGACATCAGGGGTCTCATTTCTAACTGTACATGTGGGCTTGTAGAGGGCTGGATATGAGGCAGTTGGACTATGATTCATAAAGGGAAAATTGCCTGCAGGTGTACGTACGCAGTTTTATCAATCAGATATTTTTTTTTTTTGCACAAACACATTTTAACCTGTAACATTTTACAAATACATGATACAAACATAAATGCCACTACTTTCGATCATTTCAGGTTTGAATGCCACTCTTTTAATACACCATCTCATTGTCTCTTCTTCTGCAATGGTTTAATGGCACCCGACTTCTCAATGAACCAACTACTAATAGTCACATAACAGTAATGGATGGAAACCCACATAATTCGCATTTTCCTTTTGTCAATTTCCATTGAATGGAAACCTAGCTATTGTCTTACTCATATCAAGGCTTATTTGTGTGTTGGCAGGATAAACAGAAAGCAAAACATGATTTGTAAATCTATCTGTAAACTTCATCTGCTGATGAAAATCATGGGATATGATCAAAAGCTCCAGAACAGATATTAAAGCTTCAAATGTTTCTGCTGGTGTCAGATAAGGTGTTGATCTGCCTCCATGTTGTTACAGTTTGTGATCCGATTTTGACAATTGTTAAGTCTCCCTAAGCCAAGTTTGAAAAAGGTTATTTGGGTCTGTATCCAACAACAGCACAAAAATGTGGTCTCATCTTTTTATTCAGCTTTCTTATAAAGTCTTGATGAGGGAAAATGAATACCCTGGCCGTTTTTTCAAATAAATACAATCGCTCACACTGCTTCTACTAAAGACGTCGGTTATCAGAGGATGTAGCCGGGAGTCTCCACCGCTGGGCTGCCTCATCGCCAAAGAGTGGCTACGTAACGATTTCGTGAGGGACGGCAGGACTCAGTGCAGCTCAGGGGAAGGATTAGACCACATGCATGTGCGTACAGTATTAACAGGCGCTGCCCCGCAGTCAACGAACAGGAACAAAAACGCCCCTTTAGCTCCGCAAGGCAGTTAGGGCGGGGGGGGGGGGGGAAAGACTGTCCTCCTCTGTCCACTTTTCCTTGCTTATCCAATTTTCTCTCATCTTTTGATTGCTTTTCTCATCACGGCTGAGCAGAGTAATTGGACTTTCCTCTTGCTCCAGCTGTGCAGCAGTTTGATGTTGTGAGGAGGTACGTGTTGAATAGGAGAGCCGCCGATGAAGCGGCATAAAAGGAGGCTGCAGTATTTAATTGTTGAAAAAGACACTTGAAAGAGAGGTTTTTACTCGAAGGAGTAGTACGCATGAGAAAGAAAGTTTGCTCCTTGTCCTCTCTAATGTTTAAAAAGGTGAAACCGTGTTTGTGAAGTATAGGAGGGATGTGTGTGTGTGCGTGTGTGTGTGTGGTGACTCACCAGCACCTCCTGGCCTCCTCCTGCTCTTTCCACACTCAAGTGTTCATCAGAGCCCTTCAGCTTTCTCACCTGAAACCAAAAACACAGAGACAAATTAATGGAGAACAATGAGAAGAAGGTGAGGAAATATGATGAAAGCATAAGCATCTTCCGGGGAAGGCACTAAATGGTCTAATACAGGTAACAGGACTTACACATGTGTCACACATTAAAACAAAACTTAATGCACAAACATTGAAGAGCCAGACAGTTTCCCCCTTTTGGAGTTTGTTTGTTTTTGTTCTATTTTTATGAATATTTCTCACATAATATTCACACGTATTTGTCTGCTTTTGACAGTTAATGTTTAAAAACGCAGCAGATTTTCTTTTAAATGTCTCTTATGTGTCCCATAAAAGTACCAGTGAGAGTGCCTTTTGTTTTAATGCTCCTAAACTGTGGAACTCACTGCCTCTGGATATTAGAATGGTGAGTTCTCTTAGTATTTAATTAAACACCTATCTTTTTAATCTGGCTTTTACTTTGGAGCAATGTTATAGCCTTGAATCATACGTTTAAACATCATTTATATCCCTTGTATGTATTTTTATTTTTTTATTTTGTTTTTATGTGTTTCAGTTTGTCATGTGAAGCACTTTGAGCTGCTTGTTTGTATGAAAGGTGCTATATAAATAAAGATGAGTTGAGGCTATAAACAATCCAATGCATGCTTGAACAACTTGAAATACCTTCAGTCCAGATTTACGCAATGGGGGCTTCATCACCACTAGTAATGGACACAATGCTTTTAGCCAGAATCCCCAGTTTTAAAGAAGTTATTTTGTAAAACATATTGGATTGTAATCATTAACACTTTCCTTATCTTTGTAGAAAGCGCCCTCATGATGTAATCTAGTTCAACCCAACCTTATCACAGAGTTGCATCCGCACCACTCTGACAGTCCTCTGAGTCCATAAAATAAAGCTTTGCAAGATTCACAAAGCAAGGATTTATACTTGTTCTATTGACTTGCTTTACAGATGTTTCTAATTAAGTGGTAAATCATGACAAACAAGATACATGAATGCAACATTTCACAAAACTGGAAAAGTCCACTAGCTTTTGTTTTGCAAAAGCTGCTGGCTGGTAAACAGTGTTATGAAATCTAAGCTTTACACTGCTTCAATATGCAACAGCCTCCCAATGAAGTTCAGAAATTAAGAAACTCCGCTCAAAACATTTTAGAAACATACCAACATCAGCTTGTTCATTCAGAGCTGCAGCAAAGACCGGCGACAAATGTGCCTTCACGGCTTCCGTGTCCAAAAATCAACTTTAATACGGAAAGTTTGCCAAAGAGAGATAAAGTTTGGATTATTTCTCTCCTTCATGCACTGCTGATTTCAACACCGTCACAACCTGCAGTGGGGCTCCAGAAGGAACTCTATAACAAGCCTCATTCTCCACTGGATCAGGCGAATGGGGATGTACCCCACCGAGATGCACACAGCACACACAAATACACTGACTAATCCCTCGAAGCCCTTGCTAAACCTCCAAAAATGCACATACCCAAATATTAATCCATGAAAACATATTTAAAAAAGTGGTTGTGGATAAAGTTAGTTACTAATAACACCAAACACTAATCTTTCAGAAAAAAGCCCACAGAGATATAAGGGAGGACAGTGAAACCTGTTAAACATTTAGTGACACTCTTATCCTCAAATAAAGCAGCAGGAGTGTGCTACCACATTTACCTAAATTGCTTGTGTCAATGGAAGTGCTAAAAATATTCTCGAATTAGTCAAGCAAGAGGAGTTACACATGAGACATTAAGGCTGAGCTCTGCAAAGTGTCAGTGCTGGATTCTCACATCTTGTAAATGTATTATCTTTCCATTTTAAATTGAACCTTAGTTGCATCTTTTTTGTATGTTTCCTCACTTTCCTCACTATTTTTACTTTTTAAATGTTTTTAATTGTTGCTTTTTTATCATTTATTTCTTATTTCCTCTTCGCACATATTTCCTTACTTATTTTCACACTTTATATATTTATTTGTTTATTTTCTGAGTGGGGTGCTTAGTTGTAAAGGCGGAAACACATGGACAGATTTGATTAATTAGAAACCATTACTTGTCTGCAGAGACGTGGCATTTATTTGGATGACATTTAAGGTCTGCAACTGTGGATTTGCTAACCCCGTTCGTGTTCATGGGGAGAGATTAAAGAAGAAAATGAAAGAAACCTCTTAATAACAGATGAAAGAAAATGATGATGCAGATGGTGTATTGAGACCAAACTCCCTCCCAGTTGAGTTGACTCAGCACTGTTGCTTTCATGTGAAAATATTTGAAAAGTCTTTGACCATCTGTTTGAATTTGGAGGAGGAGCAGGCTTCTGCAAGAAGAAAATTTATAATTTTAGAGGAGCTACTAAAATGTTCTTGCCATGGTAAAAAAGAAAAAAGAAAAAAAAAGGTAGTTGTTGTGTAGCTGCATGTAGATCAGGTGTCTGGTCAGATATGTCACATCTCACATTAGCTCTTCTACTAACATTACTTTGTCAGTTTGATCAGTTAGCTCACAACAGTCACACCTAGCAGGGTGTAAATATTTAGTAACAACTGCAGGGTAACTTATCTCACTTATGTTATAACTAGGCTTCATAAGTCTGAACTAATGAAGAGCTGGTGCTGGCTGTATTTAATGAAAGCAGGAGGCTGCTTCAAAACTTCATAAAGAAAACAAGTAGTTTTAGCAGACCAATAACATTATGATGAATATGACTCAGATTCAAAGAAAAATCTTTCAAACTCTAGTGGGAATGTTAAATGAGACTCATGGGAGAGGATGCCATTTAAAATGAAAAATGTCACCTTTAGACTCACTAAAAAAAGCCAGTGGACTTGAAGCAGAACAGAAAGAAAGACAGAATCAGGACTTTTTGGGACTGCACAGAGGGTCTTCACCTGGTGGAGGACCCTGCTCCTGAGCACAGACTGGCAACCTGTTGAACTCATGAACCTGACCTGAGTTTACTAAAATGGGAAACTGTCACATTTACAACAACAGACACACAGGAGAACAGGAATCTTAAGGGAAATGTCAAGGCTTTTCCACTCACTTCTCTTCCTGAGGAACATACGCCAAAAGCTTGGACCAGGGTCATGTTTACAACTGTGCTACTCTGTGTCTGCCAGTGCGTGTGTGTGTGTTACCTTGGCACTGCTGTCAGAGTGACGTCTGGCACACGCTTGGAGCTGACTCATCCAAAACTGCTGCTCCTTGCCGTCGGAGGCTGCAAAGACACACAGAACGAAAATAAAGTAATAGAATTAACTTCCTTTACACACAAGACATTGAGAATAACCAATAAATCCTGACATGAGTTCAAAGTCAGGTCAATATGCAGTTATAAAAAAAGCCATCTGCCTTAAAGTGTTTCCACATCCAGCGATGTTGTTTACAATTCAGTTCTTATTACTGCACTAGGATTTCCATTTCCACAGATTAATTTTTAAATTATAAGAGCACTAAGTGAGCTGGAAAAACAAGATGCCAGTAATCATAAGATTATTTTAAAATTGTAGTCTTTTTGCAAGATTATTTAATAAACTGTCACAATTTGAGTATAAAATGACCGTCTGTATGCCTTTCAGGGGCTATTCCCACAAGGAATGAAAGGTAGAAGAGCAAACGCTGAATTACTGTAATTTTTGAGGACACTGAGGTCGTGTCCTTGATATGACTTCAAAGAGTTCAGCAACCTGGAGGAGTTATGCAGGTAATACATAAACACTGTATTTGTTTGGCTCTTTTTAGTACTTTTAGACTGAAAATATTCCATATTTGACTAGCAAACAAAATAAATTAATACTAAAATGTACTGTTCTCAGACAAAGAAGTACATTCTTAGTAGAGTGGAGAAGGCTTTGAAAGATAACTGACCAGTGTTAAGCAATAGAAATATATTTCAATGTAACAGTTGATTCAATTTTTTTTTAATTAATTCATAAAGAAAATGAAAAATTAAAACAATTGAAACTAATTTCGATACTTTCCTTTTGGGATCTGGTCTGACATTTCTGAGTGGGGCACAGAGGTGAATTAGGGAGACTTGGCCTCATGTGGGGCTGCATCTAAAGATTATTTTCATTTTTGATTCTCCTATCCAATTAATTGTTCAGGCTATAAATTGTTTAAAAAAAGTCTGTGACCCCTGAGGTGATATCTAATCAACAGTCCAAAACCCAAAGATATTCGGTGTATAATGACATAAAACAGAAAAAGCAGAAATGTTCACATTTAAAGAGACTGAAATCAGAATAGCAGACGTGTTTGGTCAATAAATAACCGATTGGTTGACTAATCGATTGTTTCAGTTCTAGACTCATGAGCTCCTAGTACAGAGAGGTCTAGACAAAATACTGGTAGCTGTAAAAACACAATTCATATCTGTTGCACCCTCCTGTAAATATTTTTAGCACCAACATAATAAGATCATGTTCAACCGGCCAGAACCGATACAGTGGAAAGTGTTTTGACCCCAAACATCGTTTACTGAGAGGAAAAGTGGTGAGAGGAGGCAGAGACACAAACCCACACATACATAGAGCATTTAGGGCAGGTGGTGGGTGCATGCGGTTTCAAGGGCAGTTTTTGGGTGGAGGGGTTTTAGTGGGTTTCTTTAGCAAACATCCCTCGCAGGCACTATCGTTGCTTTTTGTGTAATTACAAGATATTCCTGCAAGTTTAACCTTAAGCTACAGCTAGGAGTCGGTTAGCTTAGCTTAGCATAACCACTGGAGGCTAGCTGAAAAAGTGTAAACACGCCAGGCTATTTGTTTCCCCCTGTTTTTGTGTTAAGCTAAGCTAACTGGCTGCTACTTTAGCTTCATATTTACCGTACACACGAGAGTGTTATCATCCAACTCTCTGCAAGAGAGTAAAATATCAATACTTCACATGTAGATTATAGAGAGCATAACCATTATAGAGCAGGTTTTAAGGTGGAATGAATGAGTATTTTTGATTAAACTAGTGACTGCCTTGATTTTCTCCCACAGAGATCAATAAAGGAACATCTTATCTTATCTTATCTCAAGCTGTGATATAAAGTAAAGTGCTAACATTTGGACAAAGTGCGATGAAGGCTGCATATGACTGAGGTATCGGTGAGGATGACCTGCTGGATGTCAGTGATCTCATTTGCAGCCAAATGATTATTCAACTTGCCAACTGTCTACCTGGCCAATTGATCCTGTTACCTTCTGAATGATGTCCTCAGGGCTGGTATCACATCTGAACCTCTTCATTTTTTCCTCTAGATGCTAAATTGAACATTCAGTATTCAAGAAACAGCAGCAATTCATTTGGCCAATTTTGTGAGCAGCACAGGAAGCAGCTTGATACTCTCTGCATGCTTGTGGTTTTCCCCTTGGCAAAGAGACAATACAGCCTGTTATCTAAACACAAATAGCCAGTTGAAGCCCAGACTTGCTGACTAACACAGCGGGCTGCAGCCCTTCCAGCTGAAGGAGACGCTGACAGTCTGCTTGTGCTGACCCGCTGCAGGTCAGACTGGAAAAGAATATCCTTCTGATCCCATTTCACTGACTAATTATTACAGAACAATGTCTTTGATGGGTCTGATAACATTGAGTTTATGCTGTAGGTCAATGCCAGCAGGAGCACCAAGAGAAGAGAGACAAAAGATGGCAAATGAATGCACCTGATTTCAGATTTCTGTTAAAATGACTGCATTTGGTGATTCTGTGCTCTAAAAAAGCATCACTCAACCTTGAATTATTGAGTAAAATTGCCTTTAAAACTCACCTAAAATGAAGACCCCTCTCAGTAACAAAAGGAAAGGTGTGTGGCAGTTAATCAGTACACCTGAGCACAAACTTGTTTAAGGGTGCGCTTGATTTTGTAACACAGTGTGATCAGTGGTCAGATGACTATTAAAAGTTCTATATCAATGGCAACTGAAACTCCCCAAAAACAACAACACCCAAAATCTCTTGCTTTTTAACAGATACACCAGATAGCAAACACTGCCATATAAACATACACATAACCTAATCTCTTTATTAACCACAGCTGGTAGTGATTCAGTTTACATGCACACTTAAGCTCATATAGTTTAATTTTTAGACTAACCACAGCCTCGTCACTACAGTCTGTCTGTCGCTCCGCAGTCACCTTTTCCCCAATCATGATTACTTACATTGTATGGCACTGGCTGAAACGACCGATGCTGTTGTTTTTCTTGGCAGGACAGGCTCAAAATTAAATAGTAACAGTCACATAATTAGTTTCAACCCATAAAGATGTCAGTAATATCTGGATATGAATCACCTGCAATGACTTATCAGGATTATTATGTTAATATATTTACAACTGAACTGTGAAGAACTAAAAAATGTCTGTGTTTTTTATTTTTCAGCGCCAATACACTTTTTCCAGTACAAGTGTTTCAATGCCAATGTTTCCTTTTCCTTTTCCTGTTCAGGTTTTGTTTTTAATGCCAAAAATCACTGTTCTAGCATCTGACAATTTCCGACAGTCACAGTTGTTTTATGTGTGAGGATTTGAACTTTTTCATTATTCACACTACTACTTTGGTTACTCGTTGAAAGGACATCTGAGTGCAACTCCATTAATATGTTTGAGAAGAGACTGTGAAAATGTTATCCTCATTTTGGGTGAGAATGTTTTTTAATCACATGTTATACACTCTGGTTTCAAGCATACTGAAACCTTTGATCCAGTAATGTTTAATAGAATTAATTAAAAATTAAATTCCGCTCTGTTTGTCAGACAAGTATTGTCATTATGTTTCTTCTGATTTTCATCCAAAGAAAAGCTTTAAATGTGGAAATGAATGTAGCGCTCTCCCTATTAGCGACTGGATGAGGATGGATAGCTTTATTAGACTAATAAGGAGCTGCATCGCCACCAAAATGAAACTTTAAAATCTTCTGGTAAGTGTTAACTGTTTTTTTGACATGCTGATGGAAGTTATTTCAGCAAACAGAGAATTCAATTTGCACTTGTCAGTCACTCGCACCGCCGACATCTGCCACAGTCATGAGAACACCTACAAAGGCCTGTTTAAGTGAAGAAGCAACTCTGAGAAAATGAGACGTTCACAGAAACCCTTGACAAGTGCAGCATTTGAAACATGCTCTCCCACTGGGGCTGGCTGCTCGCCTCTTCAGAGAACAGAGTATTCATATAGAAACACGTGTGCAAAGCTATCTTTCTCCAGAAACACCAAGTAACCACCTTCCCACTTATTCCCATTGTTATCGTCCACAGAAATCACTCACCAAAGGAGCCACTTACCCAGGGAGTGAGCAGGCGTCTAAATCAGATATTTTTCTCTGTGATATGCACAAGCTTCAGTGTGATTAAAGATAATTAGTTGTCTGTATTGAGCACAGCAGTGTGTGGCTATGCTAATATGCACCTGTTCATATGGTGACGCAAGAGACGCACTACTTAGCTGAGAGCAGGACGTGCTGTTCTCATTCAGGAAGAATACTATGATATTGATGTACATTTCAAAGCTGGTTTTGTGTCACAAGAGCTGCAGACTTGGAGGTGACAGCTCTATTCGTTTGATGAATGCACTAGGTTTGCGCTAGAAACAACAAAATGAGAAGCTGGTCTGCCCGTCCATTTAAAATGAGCGACAATAGCTTGTTTAGAGAGAGCAGGAAGTGATTTTCTACACTGCAAGCACTATCACTAACTCTCTAAATTCTTTTTTTGCGTCGTTTGCGGTTGCTCAAATCGATTAAACTGAGAAACCACAAGCAGCTTTTATCAAGTACCAAAAGTTGTTCTTAGTAAGTTTCAAAAATGAAAGAAATTGACAAAAGAAAAATGTCATAAAGACCCTTTCAATGAGGAACTGAAACCGTTATATTCCATCTACGCCACCAGAATTTCTCTGGTGTTTTAACATGGTAGTTTAGATCACTAACATGAAAACACACAATAACACAAACAAACTAACTAATCAAGGCACCGATAGACCTGCAATTCCTGTGTTCTTTGAGCTTCAATTGCTGTTTTTATCAGAGGAGTATGGCGGCTTTAAAGAGAGCCGTGTAACAGAAGTTTTACAATTCAGCTGCAAAAATTGCTCCTCTGACTCACGTCCAACATATACTGTGATTGTCTGTTTGTATCTTTCTCTCTGATATCTTTTAAACTTGCACAGCACAGACTTTCCTGCCTTCCTGCCCTTCCATCTGAATTTCATACGTCATCGGAATCACTTCACTGCAAATGAGCTATAGACTCCTGTCCTGGCCTGTGTGTCCTATTTAAATGTCAATATCCATCCCAGAGAGACAGCTGAACGTTATCCGAACACTACTGGGACAGAGAGAGAGAAACCTCCTTTCAATCATTTCAACACCATCATTGTCTAATTGCACCCATTTTAATTACAGCATTGTGAAAGATGTTATTGGTTAAGATAATGCTAGGTCTGAGGATTACTGATTGGGACCAGCAGTTAGATTTGATTAAAGTGCTGGGAGATATTATGAGCGAGGCACTTTAAACATATATTTCAAGAAAATGGACATGCTGACAGGGACTAGAGAGGTTAGAAGAGTAGCCCAGCAATTACAGCAACCAGCCTCTCCTCATCAAAATGACACAATAACCCCTGTAATTATTTGCACTAAATCAGTAACACCATATTATCTGCTAGGAGAGAATTTGTTGTAAATTAAGGTTTAACTCTGTTTAATTGGCTTTTAATAGCTTTTATTCACTCCAGATTCAGACTGTTGCACCTTATGTTTGTTGTGATGTGTTAATCGTTTATGCAGTATAGCAGAGGGGAATTGAATGTCATATTTAAGCCGAATAAGTGTTACTTTCCTGTAGGACACAAACACTACAAGGAAAGCAGAGCCTGAAACATCCATATGTATAAGTGACCTTTTGCTATTGACTTTTGTGTTTAATGGATTTTTGTTCTTGAATTAAAGCAATCTATAGGACTACAAGAGATAAAGAACAGACAAGTACAGACTGTTTCTCCGATAATTTTGCCTTTTACCTGTTTCTACTCTTTATGCTAATATAAGATAATTGTCTACTGGCTTTAGCTCCAGTATTTAGCTGCTGTATTTGGCATACAGACAGTGGTATCGCTCTTCTTATCTAACTCTCAACAAAAAAACAAGGATGTAAACGAGGATGCTTTGATGAAACCGTACAATAACTGATGTTAATCTGCAGACAGAGATGCAAGACAATAAACCCCTAACTGTTCACTCACTGACAGTCATTCTGGATAGACACACTGGCAAAAAATGTCAAGTACACAGCTCACGGTAGTCATCCCTGGAAATCATACAAATAGTTCGCTGTTTGCAAATAAGAGACATATTTTGGCAGATTTGTAGTGAGGTATGATCTTGGAAGCTTTATAATAATCAATCATTAGGACGGGTCCAGCATCAAAACACTGCAACAGTATTGTTTTAATTATTATGATGCACCATAAAGATTGTGTCACGCATCCTAATCAGCCAGTTTTAAAGCTCTGCTGAGCACAACTTGACCCTTTCATTGGCTGACTGTCTCACTGAAACATCGTATGATAAATTGCTTAATTTGCCATCTGCACATTCAGACATGATTAAATTCCCACTGCTCTTCACCTTTGTGCTGCAGCAATACACAGGGCACTACGCTACAGCAGAAATACTGCCTTTATATTCCTCTGCTCTAGCAAATTACACTGTGCTACTGTGCAGCTGTGTTAGATGTCACATAAAAGTCCCACGATGCCTCAAATTAGACATTCTTAAGAAACATTATTAAGAGTTGTGATCACTTGTTGCATAGAAGACACCACAAAGCAAGTATATACAAATAATATTAATGTTATCTTCTTCATTTATATCATCTAGCAAATAATATATTATAGTAAAATTGGTTGTGCTTTCCATAATAATGGTAGTATACAAAACATTTTGATTCATTACTTTGATTACGAAAATTATGAGTAAGAGTTGTCAGCCCAAACAACCTCCACGTGTATCAGCTTGTATGTTGCCTGAATCACTGGCTACTACTTGAAAAAGATTTGATTTAATGGTCTTTCTGGTAATGAATCCAACTGAAACACTGAAATTGTGCCCTTGCTTCTGCAGCAGCTACAGATTCTGTGTATCCAGTATCTTCTTACACCAGTCACCAACAGGGACATTTGTTCAGAACCCTCTTGTGAAAAGGTCTCAACCTGAGAATAAAGGTGGCATTTAAAGCTTTAGACACCGACCATCCGTGAGATGATATGCAGTTTATACATTACTCCAGACCGAACCTTCAAGTTACACTTTTTCAACCCCAGGTTAGGCTTTCAGGGATTCCCATGGTAACCAATACTGGATCTGAAGCATACCGACTAATCTTAATCACAGACTGCTGAGCCACTTTGTACCCGGCTGTTTGAGCAAATTGAAATTTTTGAGTACAAATGCTGCTATTGAACTTTAATTTCATTGAACTTCAATTAATTAAAAAAAAAAA